GACATCCCATCCCTCAGGCATGTCACCTGCATGATGGTGTCATCTGCAAACTCAATCCCACTATTTTATGCCCCTGATGAAGATACTACATAACGCTGGCCCCAGGACAGACCTTTGAAGGACACCGCTTGTGACTGGTTTCCACTCGGACACTGAGCTACTGACTGTGACTCTTTGGATGCAGCCATCCAGCCAATTCCCTGTCCTTACCTGGTGTTACCATCTAGCTTTGCATCTGAAGATGAAGAATTCATATCAGAAATGTGAGAGAAAAACCAGTAAGTATGGATCTGCTCTGTGCCACACTGTCCCATGACACTGCCAGTACTCAGCATATAAACCAGGAAAACCAACACAGCAATTATCTTTTTGTGATTGCTCCTGCAATCTAAGGTCTTTAAAAAAACCCACCAATACGGAAAGGTGGTTAAGCTGTTTTCCCCATCATCTGAAAAGCTTCTGTACTGGTTTGGCTAGGGAGAACATGTCCACATCCGAAGGCAGGAGGCTGGGTATCAAACAGAACGAGGCAGCAAGCTAAAACCCTTACGCAGCTGCTCTTTTCACTTTTCCTCTGGATTTTTTTCCCACATTACTGTGCGAATCCATACCTTTCATGTTTCTGATCTTTTCCTCGCTTGGCTTGGACTGCATTCTGATCCACTTCTGTCTCAGCAACCCCTGTTGTTTCAGGGCCTTGGAACCCCAAGTTCCAAGCAGCACAGCATTTCCTAAAAGTGGTTTTTCCAAAAGTGGTCTTTCCAAGGTATCACCAACAACCTGTTCCATGAACGGCAAACGTCATCGTCAGACAAACAAAATCCACTCGCCGATGACCAGAAGTAGGTAAACCTGCCACAATTTCCACACTGTTTGGAAAAGCACAGGTTTAATTTGTTTTATTTACTGGACAAGAAGCAGCAGATTATTCTACTGAGGTCAATTTGTATAAGAAACCGAAATACATACATTCAAAGCACTCGAGCGCATTCATCACTTAAAACAGAAAGTAA